TATGTTCATCCTTAGTCGGTCTGAATACATCGAATGCTCGACGTGGCACAAAAGCGAAATGTTCCCCAGCATCGCACAGAATTCGTGCTATCGTCACTTTTCGGATTTGGATCACTTGCTCTGGCGTAAACACCTTCGGATTCTCGAAGTAGAGCCTGTAAATAAGCACATTTTCTCGCGAAGCTGCTAAACCCACGTTTTTAGCCAGGAACACCGGGTTTTCGCTGGCGATCTTGCGCATCAACAAAGGACAACGAGCTAGGAGCCAGTTCTTTCGCTCGGCTACATATCGCTGGATTCAAATGGATAGTGACATATTCCGAGCGCTCTGGAGGCGCAAGACTAGCAGCGGCCAGCGAAATTGGATTCACTTTTCTCACGCACGAAAAGTTCACAGCTGTCGAACGAGAATAGGGTGTGGTATAATTTTTGCGCCTATCTTCAGTAATTCAGGTGGGGAGGGGAGGGTTCTGTTATAGACAAAACCCAGAAATAAAGGGGTTCCAAATAAGCTTGGTTCCGAGAGGCTTCTGCATCAAACTCCAAGGAAATTCTCTATTATTTGCATCTCTCGCCCAAAGTAAACTGAAATTAGGGGATCTATTTTTTCAGGGTGATTGTCATGGAAATTGATTGACTGAAAGTTTAAGAAAAATCAAATCAGTAAGTAGTAGTGAAGAAAACATTATTAGCTTTTTAATCGTGCACAAATAAAGATGCATGGTGGTAAAACATCCTTGAGTAAAAACGATTCATAAGATTCAATCCATATCTATGTCTTATCCAAATTATAGGGCTGGACTATGTACAGGATGATTGTGAATTCTAACAGCCCCATGATGATTTTCAAATGGCTGGCTAATTTTCATTCGGTAGCAAATCACCAAATATAAGAAGCAAACTGCACCTGTCACCATCTCTAGTTCGCTTGAATTGTTCTCCAATAATACAAGCTAATGTTGGTCCAACAAGCGAACTGGGCAAGGGATCCTCCAACAATGAACCGACATACATATCAATAGCACCTAAATCATTGATTTATTACTTCAAGTTACATGACACTGACAATTGTATTAGAGAAAAATGAGTTGTGAAATTTTTTTTCAAAGCACTCACCAACATGTTTGTAGATGACTCGGAGATTTTCTACGACCACTTTGTTTGAGATAGTCTTGTTGAGGTCATCAAAGTCCCTAACTTCCGGTAAACCGCAGAATGATCTCCATTGAACAAAGGCGGGAACACCGTGATCTCTAGAATAAACTTGAGATTTTCTTACAATTGATAATTCCGAGATCTCTTTGAACTTAACAGTCGTTCCACGGTAAGTTTTAAGAAGTAAAAAATATTGAAATCGAAGTCTGTAGTGTGACAATCCCCAACGCAAAATGGATTTTGACATAGACAAAAAATATTGAACTAGTTCTATTGACAAATTTAGTCATTGAAGTTTCAAGAAATGGCAATAAATTGGACAGAAATGATGTGATAAATTATCGTCTAGAAGAAAATAATCTATGACTGATAATTTTTGAGAAGTGCAAATCTTGTGGCAAAGACTACATAAAGAAGTAGTGAAGGTAACGTACCGTTTATCAACCCTCATACTCTTCAAAGTATGGGGGTTGATAGACGTATAATGACTTCAGTACATCGTGAAAGTCTGTGCTTGATTTACGGTACTTAGCTAATCTATTGATACAGTCTCTAAGCTAGTTGGACAGTTGTGACTCAAAACTGTAAGATTATATGTTTCATAGGAAAAAATCATGGTTGAGGATTCGAAGTCCTCCAATTAGTGAGGTTCATCGTTATTGAGTGAACGGCTAGGGTAATTTGATGG